AGAGATCTCTAGAATTCATTTATTCTGTTCCCATCTCCAGGCTGAATGGTGGCTAAACTAAAATAGGTGTCTGCAATATTAGTACTGAAGTACCGTACCCAACACTGTCCATTTCCCTAAACTGCAGCCAGTTTAGCTGTCAAATAAAAATAACTTATGGCATGCTACTTTGCCGTCATCTCTTTCCTGGCTCTCCCTTGGGTACCCAAGGTTGCTCAAAACTGAATGTTGTCAGAAATAAAAGTCTGAACTTCAGGGTAGACCTGATCAGAAAGTAAAACCTATTCTTGGCTTTGCACAGCGGGTAGATATCTCTTTACCTATCACCCAATCGTGACAGCTGTTTGAACTGAAGTTCTGTGAAGAAACCCCTCCCCTGCTAGCTTCACCCCTTGAACTGAGAATTCAAGGGTCACTGGCACAGCTGGAAGAGATGACTGCAACAACTCAGCAAAAAGTATCATTAGATGATTTGCTTCTGAGAACTTCTTTTGAGCCCACCACCTGACCAAACAGCATCACCACCATCATCTGTAAAATATTAACATTTACTGGGGCAGGACAGTGGTCCTGAGACTGATTGCTTGGTGTCAGGGCAGGGTTTACTTCTTTGAAGATGGAATTGAGGAGGCTACATGATTAATTTGAATAACTGGGAGTCTCTATTTCTTGCCATTTGATTTTGGGACTGCAGTGTCACTTTAGGTCAAAACCAAAGACATGTTACCTAGGTTATGAGAAAATAAAAGCTTTAAAACAAAGAAGAAGCCAAGTTTGGAGGGAGAGGAAATGTTGAACTTGGGTTTACATTTCTGAAGAAGAATTGCCTGGAATTTTATAAAAGCAAAGAATACAAATATCATCTTTGTGTTTATATTAGGGAGTAAGCATTTTAAAACATGCAGTGTATTTTAAACACTTTTCTTCTTTTTAATCTTGCATTGTACCCAAAGAATGCTAATAGTTACCAAATTGTTCTTTGGCAGAATGAACTGACCCTTAAAAAAGAAAAATAAATATGATAGGATATGATTCTAGCACAGTACAGTTAATGAATCCTCAACTCTGAGCAGGTGTTAACTAATCAAATCCAATGATCGCAACCTAGGAGAATTCCTGGGAGCATTTCTTCGCATCGCTTTATGTACATTGCATGGCAATGAAAGACAGTCTCCATGGCTCCTAATAAAGAGATGTTCCTCTTCATTAAGATAGCAAATTGGATTTATCTTTGCACTGCTCAACCTCCTCATCTGTAAGCCTTAGCTTGTCTCAACCAGTGCTGCTTATCTCAGCAATAAAGCATTCAGTCTCTAGAAGGAGGTTTCTTCTTACACCCTATAAACAAGAGGACGAATATCTTGTTATATGTGCTAAAATGAGTTGAGTGAAATGAGCATGAATCTGCTTTGCTGTCACTAGCTATAATCAGCTTTTCGAATCTACACTGTATCCCCAATTACTCATGGCATGGTAAGGAACACGGATATTTGTGACAACAAACACTTTCCCGAGAAGCAGTAGGTCTAGCAGCCCAGTGACCTGGTTTCTGTGTGCAGAGACATTTTGTTTTCCTAGCTTCTTCACCATGTGCTAACAATTAGACAATGACTCTGTAAATGAGGAGGAAAAAGCAGTGTCATGGATGATGGGTGGTTTGTTTCTTTAGTTCTTTATTGGAAACATATGGAGATCTTTATGTACAAATAGAAAACAATATAATGCTGCCATTGTGTTAGCATCAGCTAATAAAATTCTGCATGAATAACAATCAAACATGTCTCTACCTATGCCAGAATTCTGGTTTACTGACATCTGTACATCCTGTTTAATTCAGCTTGAAAAGATGTTTTATTATTTCAGGCTTTTTATTTCTAGTTGTAAGGAAATTATAGAGCAAGTTTTTTTGTTTTTGTTTTTGTTTCATTCTTTTTGCTTAATTAACTTTATTAGCAAAGTCAATAACTTCTGTTGGAGTAGACCTTCTACTATGATCATAAAAAAATGTTTAAACTCTATACATTTGTGTAACTACAGTCTCTGTATTTAAAAGTGAGGATTTGCATGGCACCTGGAGGTAAGCTTCAGGAGACAGAGCAATGGGGGAAGTGGTGTTCCGAGCACAGGCATGTGGGGCAGACCTCTGCATTTGAATTCTGGCTGCCCCACTTATTAACTAGATGGCCTGGGAAAGCTAGTTAAGCACTTTTTTTTTCACCTGAGTAATGAGAACTGTAAAAGCACTTACAGAATGTGAGCATTACATAGGGTAAGTTGGAAAGCATTTCATACAGCATCTGGTGTGTAGGAAGCACTGCAAAAATGCTGCCAATCATCATTGTGAGAAACTAACAGGTGGTTTAAATGGACATCATCCTTGAAAATGTGAGAGGTACTAATACTTAGTGCTAAGACCCGTAACAACAGTTGTTTATCAAGTGCTAATTATACAGCAGGCTTTTAACAATGCATTCTTTCTTACAACTCCATGAACTGGGTACCCACTTCATGGAGGAAGATACTGAGCGGATACGCAGTCTGGCCAAAGTCACAAAGTCAATGACTGGTTAATCTGAGGATCAAATCCAGTCTGAATAATTCCAAAGCTCAAACTCTTTTATCTCTCTGCTAACCTGGCTGTCGCATACATAGCCTACAGCACCTTTGAAAGCTCCTTTATCTAGGTTATCCTCTACATTCCTATCAACATTCTGTGACATTGCACAGAGGCATTCACAAACTGTGGAGTCCCCTATCTGTAGGACATCTGTTCATTTGTAGTCGAAGAGTGCTAGGAAGCTCTTAATGCACATTTTCTTAGGCATCCTGTCAAGTTCAACTCATGCAATCACTTTCACTTTGGTCCACAAAAGTCTTTTCTTTGAAGGTGTGCAAAGCTGCATATTCTCGGGCTCATTATTCAAGCTTTGGAAAAGAGCATTTGTCCCAACCTGCAGATGGAGAAGCCAAAGGCCAACGTGACATGACATGGGGATAGAAGGAGAAAGGCAGTCGTCCCCCTTGGCAGGACAGCATGTCAGTTGCTGAGTCAGGAATAGAATGGAGCAGGTCTAGCTCTGTGTCCACCTCATTAGGCAGCTCATTAGTGTTGGGTCTGACAGCCAAACTGCCACCTAGCTCCACTTTTAACCTAAATAGTACATAATTCGGAACACTTTGCCTAATTTTTTTGTTAGAAGGATGAGATATGCCTGCACTATGGGAACCCTCATATATAAGATTACCCAATTCTGTTTTCATTTGTAGATATGTTGTGATGTTTCTGTCCTCTTTTTTACAGGTGACAGAGAGAGCTAAGGGAGGTTGGAAGCAGGGCATACAACGGGAGAAGGTTAGGACATGTCAACCTGCGGACCTAGCATCAATGTGCTAGTTAAACGAGCCCTGAGTATAAGGCATTAATGCAAATATTTTGCATTTATTAACACTAATGAGGCTACTATCATGTAGTAGCCACAGTGGAAAACTGAGGTGGCATATTCTATTATAAACGCCTTGGGTCTTTCTCTGAAAACTACCATGAAGACAGAAATTCCTTAGAAGTGAGAGTAGAAATATGAGCAGGCTTCTGCTTTGTTAACTTTCTCATCATTAACAACAATACCACAAAACATTGGTATCCCAGGGCCACCCTGTTCCATCCTATAAATGCTGGCAACATCCTCCGTTAGAACCTGCTACTGCTTTTGCCCATGTAACAACAGTACACTTCCATGGCAGTGCTTAGGAAATTATTGTAAAAAGAAATCTGTTTTAGAAAAAGAAAAAACCAAAAACAAAACATGTATAGCCCTCGGGTTGTTACGTAAATGAAAAATCATTCTAGTTCAGAAGGGTTGCTTGTCCCTCTACTCCATGCTATCTATCAGTGGCAGTGTGGAGTTCTGGAAAGCAAGGGGTTTCAGACCCAGCTCTCCCATTTTTCAACTGCATGACTTTGAGCAAATCACTTGACCTCGCTGATCCTCAGTTCCTTTTCTATAAAGCTGCTTTGTGTACTTCATGGGTTATGGAAGAAGATCAAAGGAGATTACAAATGTGAAAGCTCTCTGGAACCACTGTACAAATGTTATTATTGATTTTTACTAGGTTAATAGTGAGGAACAAATACAGTGCCATCCAAGAATAGTTTGGGAATAGCTCAATGGAGTAGTTGTTGGTAGTAGGTGGCCAGTCTTTAAGAAGTAGATGGCTCCTGGGAAACAGATGGCCAGTCCAGTTTGAAGGACCTCGAGCTTCTAAGTCCTAGGTTAGTGTCACAATTTAGCTGTGCACCCCTACGAGAGCTTCTTATATCCTAAGCTCTTGCAGTGGTAAAATCACTGCATGCTTTCTTACTAGGCTTTTTTCAGAAAGAGTTTGAAAACTAGCAGCCTGGAAGAGTCGCCAAAGTTTATGGTGATATGGTTGTACAACAGAGAGAGCAGTATTTCCTGTGTTGTTCTATTACCTCCCTCCCTTCTGATGAACAACAACATCAGAAACCCAAGACAAACTGTAAGTCTGATGCTTTTAAGATTAGGCAGAACTCACAATTAACATAAGAATATTTATTTAGAGAGAGAGATGCAGAGAAATAAGCATACTTTCTTTTGTTTGAAACCATGAATACTATCTGGAGATCCCCCACTATATAGGAATAATTGCATCCTGGTACACAGTAGGCACTTAAGAAAATTGGCTGAAAGAATATTATGGCTAGTAGAAATCATTGAGTAACTTTAATATGAGGCTTTATATTTTCATTGTATTTTTTAATCCTTCCAAGTCAACTTGAGTTTGGCAAATCCCAGGATGAGTAATTGTGCATCTCAGAACAGTTTAGGTAATAGGCAGACCAGACCCTAAATCAGGCAGAGCAAGACGTGTTTTGGCAAGAACTGGTGAAGAGATAAAGTATTTGATTATTGTTGTTGATAGTTCCCAAGGAGAAAGCAAAAAAGCAATAGAAATAAACTAAACTTTTCTCTTTTGTTTAGGCAAATATTTCCAAATATAGCCTGGTGATGGAGTCTGACTTGGGAACCTTCTTACCCTCTGGGCTACAGTTCACTGGCAGTGAAAAGGCCAGGGCCATCATAAAGGAGGTCATGAGCCTGCTGCAGCCTATCAACATCACACAGGTCTTTAGTGCTGGAGAAGGGACAGACATTAACTTCTGGATCCAAGCTGGTGTTCCTGGTAAGACCAAAAGATAAAGTTGGGGTTCCTAATATACTGCTATCAATTTGAAATAAAATTTCTATTTTTGCATGCCACGATGAATACTGATAGACCAATCAATGCATGGGAACCCTAAGCTTTTGTCTATAATGTATAATCTGTTGATTTCCAAACTTGGAAGAATAATATTCATTTATATTTGTTTACTCATCTGTCTTCGCTTTCTAAATTATAAATTCCCCTCATTTCCAGAGATTCTGATTTAACGATTCTGGGATTGGGCCTAGAAAGCCCTTTCTTTGTTTTTGTTTGTTTGTTTGTTTGTTTGTTTGTTTTAATGGGTGTCTTTGGTAATTGTGGTACAAGTGATCTCACGATAAAAATTAGAGAAATAGAGTAGGAGGCGATTATTATTATTAATAAACTTCTAGTCCTGCGCTAGGGAATCTTCTCTGACTCAAATCGTCCCCTACCCAAATACAGTGGTATCTGAAATTCTGCCAGTAGAGATTTGTTCTTTGAGGGTGAGATACTTACTGCTAATCACTTTTTTTCTAATGCAAAGACTCACGTAAGGAGTTCGACCATAAACTAATTTACTAATTTATCAGATTGATATTTTTAAGATAAGTCCTGGGCAAGGATGAACTTATGTAATAGGAATAGGCCTGAGGAGGTTACAGGACTAGTACCTGGAACAGTCTTAAAGAAAGCACACCTGTACTTCTTCACAAATTTCCCCCAGACTTGTCATGGGAAGGGGTTATTGATGATATTAAGCATCTCCAACCTGAGGGTTATCCTTCAACACCATTATATTTAAAACTAAAATCATTGTTAAAAGATCCATTTGCAAATTCTTCTGTATCTGTATTATGCAAATAGGATGTTCAGCCTTTAAATACTTTTAATATTACCGTTTCCAGAACCATTTCTGTGGCTACCAAACATTTCACAGATTTTTTTTTAAAAAAGTGTCTCTCTATATCCACTCCACTCTAGCTTTTTTTTTCAGCCTGCAAAGTAGGTTTCACCAACAGCATGCTACATGGATTTGAGATTTTTTAAAAGTTTACTCTTGATATATTATACATTTTTAAAGCATATTTTAGATTTAAAGGTTTATAATAATCTTACATAACTAAAAATAGAGGAAGCTTTCCTTTATTCTAATACAAGGACCTGAATTCTCTCCAATAGTTTGTGTATATTTTAACCATATTTTGAAATATTTTAAAACAACATTTCCATTTACACTTCTTTGCATTATGTGAACAGATCCGAGACTCTCTTCATATATGTCATTTTTAATCATGGTCAAGGCCTAGTGAGAGGGAGTCTGCCCTTTATGTTGTATAGAATGACTTGTTTAAATTTTAGATTTTTCCCAACCTGTACATTTTCAGTAGGAACCTTCTTAAATTTTGAGAAAAGCTAAATAAGTTTGTTGGATAGTAGATGTGAGGGAAAGACTGAAAGATTGTGGGTTAATTAGAGTGAAGACTGGGGGTGGTTAGAGGGGAGGTGAGGAGCTGAAACGAAAGACAGAAGTAGAACCAAAAAACGTGTACTCTCTCTTTTCAGGGGCAGTATTCCTGCCCCCCGCCACTTATCTGTGGGGGATACATTCCAAGACCCCCAGTAGACGCCTGAAATTGTAGATAGGACACAACCCTATATATACTATGTTTTTTCCTGTACATGCATACCTATGGTAAAGTTTAATTTATAAATTAGGTACCGTAAGAGATTAACAACAATAATAAATAGAAAAATTATAACAATATACTTATACTCTAATAAAAGTTATGTAAATATGGTCTCTCTCTCTCTCTCTCTTTCTCTCTTTCTTTGATAACTGATCTAATAATTGAGGTGGCTACTAAGTGACTAACAGGTGGGTGGTGTATATAGCGTGGATACACTGGACAAAGGGATGATTTATATCCCAGTAGTATGGTGTGAGATTTCATCATGCTACCCAGAGCAGTGCACAATTTAAAACTTATGGATTGTTTATTTCTGGAATTTTCCATTTAATATTTTTGGACTGAAGTTGACCTCATGTAACTCAAACCATGGAAAGTGAAACAGTGGATAAAGGGGGGCTGCTGTATGTCTTTCTTTTGTTGCATTGGATAATTGAGAATTGGCTCTAGCTTTATTCTTTCCATATAGATATTCCATAAGAGTGGTTCTGTTTAGAACTAACAAGTTGATTTGATTGTCTTCACCAAAGTAAGGAGGCTTTTCCTTCTTGCCACAGTAGAGTGGGGGAATTTGAGCCCCATTATGGTTGCTTAAGAATTAATACTAATTACAATTTATTGTGCTCCTGCTATTTAGCAGACACTTAGGCTTTTTGCATTTTTTTTCCCTCTCTTTTTTTAAATAGTACAACCATCCTAATAGATAAAATATGATTATCCCTACTTCTCAGATGAAAAAACTGACACAGAGGATCTAAATCACTTGCCCAAGGCTATCCTGCTCTTAAATGCAGATGTCACCCTGAGAACAGGCCACTTTGGTTTCAAAGCTGGTGGCCCTTTTCCCACAATATGCAACAACACAGGGGAGTCTGGAATGCTGAGATAGGCTTCCAAATCTATGACAGCATCTGAAATGTTTATCTTACTCAGTTCTTGCTTATGTAAAGGATTTCATGCTCCAAAATAACTTATCCCTGGGGAGAGGAGTTTGTTATTGTAAATAACGACTTATTTCTTCTCACATTCTTTGTTCCACTCCCCTTTCTACCTTTGTAGATCGGGAAGGTTTATATGAAGTTGGTAGTTCATTTAGACTGCAACTAATGTTTCCTAGAATTCTTTATTTTCTTTAGAGTATTGTAAGATCAAACTAAATTATTGCTGTTTTCCCCTATTACCCTTGAGTTATCTTTTGATATTTCAAGTTTGGGCTATTCCTAAAAGAAATAATGGAATTGCTATTGTTACAACTCTTGTTACCTGTTGAAAATTTCAGACCTTTAGAAAAAGATGAAGAACTGAAGTTACTCTGAAAAAGAAAATAAAAATATACCAATATGTACCCTGTATTCTTGAAGATATGGCAAATCATAATGAATTAAACCTGAAGATAGGATTCAAAATACTAATTAAGTTATGATTTAAGTAATTGCTCACCTAACTTTTGAAAAATTAATGAGAAATAATATCTCCAAACTCCATCCTTCCTTTCTTCCTTCTCTTTTTCTTTCCTATTCAGTAAATATCTATTGAGCACCTACCATGCACTTGGCTTGTCAAATTTCTGTAGTCTGATGACTGGGCTCCAATTTTTTTTAATGTTTCTTATAGATTCAGTACGGAAATACTAATTAAGAACACAGATAGAATTAAAATTCAACATGGTTTTTATTCATTTTTGAAGTCAAATAGATTAATTTATGAAAGGGTCAGCTTTGGAGAGGAAATATGATGTCTTTTATCTATCTAGATGACATCCATAATGCACAGAATAACTATCAACATAAATGTAAGGCTTTGTTTGTGTTTGGGGTGGGGGGAGGATTTCAAAAAATAAGGATCTTAGATGTATTTTCCACTTAAACTCTCTGTTCCAGATATCTTTATGTACTTCAGCCTCCTCTCATTTTCACCTTTCATACTGCTTCCTATTCTTCCCCTCCAAATCCTAGATGCACTTTAAGTTTCATTCTGTATTCATTAGTGTCCATGAATTGTTCTTTAACAGCCCCTGGTATTCTATTGCTTTCCTAACTTTCTAAAACACTCCTATAGTCTGCAATCTGACCCTTGAATTACACACTAACATTTTCCTATAGTCTGCAATCTGACCCTTGAATTACACACTAACATTGCTAGGAATTTTTGTGCTTCCTGCTTCTCATACCTAGTGATCAATTCTTTGATGTTAAGGTCAATAGTTTCTACTTATTGCCTCCTCTGTATCTCTTAGTTTAATTTTGGAAAACATTCTTGTAAGTCTAACATGAGAGAAGAAACAAAAACATAGAAATAATTATTTTCTCAACAAGCTTTGGGTGCCTCAGCTTAAGAGTGTGGAGAAAATGAAGGATGCTTAGAAAAGAAACATAAAGATGGAAAAAATATTGGAAGAATGATACAAATTAGAGAGGCTAGAGAAATTAGAATTATTGAATAAATTCTTCTAGTAATTTAATGATTCTCACACATAAAATGGTAAACAGTTGATCCCGACTCTTTCAAAGACAATACAGAGCATGACTGAAAGTAGTGTAAGAGGGATTTAGGTTAGTTTCTATTCACTCAGATAGTAGAGAGGTTTCAAATCTTAAATTTTTGCCTGATTCTCCAATTATGAGCTCCAGGTTAGAATGAAAGGAGTCTATTTCATTCTGAATATGTCAGTAATGAGATAAAATCCATGGTTCTCAGATATCTTTACATGCATCTTCCTTGAACACGTCCTTTTTAAAGAAATTATTCCATAAAATATACATTAATGGAAAAAAAATTAAATACTCTCTTAATGCAACCCGAGGAAGTGAGCACATCTTTATTCCATATCTACCAATAAGAGTTTCCTCCTCTGCTTCAGAATCTGAGAGTCAGCCTTTTTCTGATATTGTTGGCATGTGGTAGACAGTGTACTGGAAAGAATTAAGAGGCCTTGACTGTGTATTCTAACTTTACCACTTCTAATTGCATGTGCTATCTTACTTTTTCTAAGCCTCACTCATTATTAAGCATCCTTATTAGTCCTTATTAATAATCATTAATATGGCAAAGGGGAATCAGTAGTACAGAAGATAGACAAGATCCACATCCTCATAGACTACACAGTCTAGGGAGTGAGACTTGGTTATTTCATCTGCAAAATGAGTATGGTAGCATACATGGCATCATTTCCACCAAGCCTCCATGTGTGTTCCTCCTCTTCTGTTCCCTAGCTCATGGATTGGGACCACCATCCAGAAACTGCATACTCATCTAGAGCATACAACCAGATGGTCTATCTCCAAATCCTGTTTACTCCAAATCCCTTCT